CAGGACACACCGTTCATTCTAATATAGAAAATCCTACGATAAATATTCCAATTAGTGATACAGCAGTAAATTGTGCAAAAAATCAAATTATTATTTCCGAAGTAAACCTCGAACCAGCTGATCCAGTAATTAGTAGATTACATGTGAATAAACAGCGAATATCCGTTCAATTATCAAAGAACAATTTTGAAGCAGATACAATTAAATTTGTAAAAGAATTTATTGCACCAAAGGTAAAATATTGTTTATATTTTGAAGACCCAGTCTATGAAAAGTTCAGCGTAGTTCTTCAAACATATTTCAAAAATTCCCAAATAAATCTAGTAAAATGCACAAAGAAATTGATAGACGTTACAGATCAAAATGAGATTAAGGATATAATCAAGAATTATCACGAAGGTAAAACCAATCATCGAGGAATCGATGAAACTGATAAAAGAATAAAACAAATATATTATTGGCCGAATTTAAGAAACTCGATACAGACTTATATTAATGAGTGTGAAATCTGTCAGTTAACAAAATACGACAGACACCCGTTAAAACTTGAATATAATATTACGCCAACGCCTACGAAACCATTCCAAATTTTATACGTAGACACTATTTCTTTAGAAAATGCAAAATTTTTGACTATGACCGATTCATTTTCAAAGTACGGTCAGGCTTACATGTTGAACTCTGCCAATGGAGTAGAGGTAACAAATAATTTTATAAGATATTTTACACATCACTGTATACCAGATCAAATGATTTTCGACAATGGCACAGAATTAAAAAATTCAGTAGTCAAAGAACTTTTAGAATTGCATAAAGTCAAAATACATTTTATTAGTTCACAGCACCCAGAATCTAACGGAACCGTAGAACGTTTCCACTCAACGCTCATAGAACATTTAAGATTATTGAATAATCAGGTAGAGTACAAGAACGAACCTATAGAAACTAAGGTAAATTACGCTATTTTAGCTTATAATAACACAATACATTCTGTAACCAATCTTAAACCCTATGAAGTGATTACTGGTCATTTCAATACAGAATCACCTTTTAATATAGACATAGATAAGCAATTATTAAATAATTATTTACAGAATCATAAGGAAAAAATGAAATTAGTATATAGGAATTTAAATGAAAAGATATTACAGAATAAAGAAAAAGTTATAAATAAAGCAAATGAGAAACGTGAAGTTTTGCCTGATATTCCTAACAAGGTATATGTTAAGAATAAGCAGAAGCAACAGAAAACTAAAAATAAGTATAAGCAAGAAAAATTAATTAGTATAGATAAGAAATTAAAAAGAGCGGAGATAGATCCCACACATGCCAATACTTCCAAAAATCCATTTATCCAATATTAAAAGGCCCAGGAAGAAAACTTATCAATTTAAATTTACTAATATTTCAGATACCTCATCTATTTCGGATGCGGAGCAGAAATAAGAAACATAACGAACAATTTAGGAATTTTGCCAGTAAATTTAGGCACAGCTAGGCTACAAAAGACAAAATACTTTTGTGCACTATTATGATCTATCACCTTTATATAAGGAATATGAAGATTTGAATATTCAATACAGTAATCTTAACTATAGTTACAGAAACCATTCTAAGATTAATAACGAGCTAGAAAATTATAGTAAGATAGTATCTTATATAAGGAGCTTGATTCAAGAGAAAACGAATACATTAAATCTCATTCTCAAAAGACTCGCAATAAGAGAGGACTTTTTAATGGCATAGGCTATGTAGTAAAAACAATAACAGGAAATTTAGACTCCGACGATGGAGAACGTATTGATAAAATTTTATCTCATTTACAAGAAAATCAGCATATTCAAAATCAGCTGAGAATGCAATATTCAGTAAACAATGAACTTGTCGCAAAATTTAACGGGACTATTCAAGATATACAGCACAATGAGATGACATTAAGAAATAACATTTTACAATTGAAACATATTTTATTGAACCAGACAACAAACCAGGATATTCTTTCAGCGAAGGACATTATCAATCAATTAATTATCCTTTATAATGCCATATTGAATATTTTACAAGATATCGAAAATTCGATAACTTTTTGCAAATTGAAAACCATGCATCCCAGTATAATAAGGACTAGAGAATTATTTCAAGAACTCCGTAAGATATCCACATTTTATAAAAATGAATTACCATTTGAAGTAAAGTATGAAAATATGCTAGATTATGAATCTATTATTTCTATCAGTTGTAAAATCGATGAGAATCAAATAAGTTATTTTCTATCTATTCCTATAGATTATCCTGAACATTTCGATCTTTATTATATGTTACCTATACCGACTCTGATGCACAAATCAGAATTCGTCACTATTATCCCAAATTATAAGTATTTGCTAAAATCTGATCGAAATGAGATCAAACCCCTGCACGAGATTTGTACCCAAGGTAGAATCTATCAATGCCCTAATCGTATATTAGCCAATCACAAAGCCCAATGCGAGAAGTCAATAATTACAGAAGATCATACAGAACCATGTAGATACACGAAGCTTCAGATTGAAGAAAATCACATCGAATTTATTCCCGAAATTAACCAGTATTTAGCTGTATTTCTCACCGAAGAAAAATTGAAAATTAAATGCAAGGAGCAAATCGATACAAAGTCATTACTTGGCATTTTCTTAGTCAAAGCCAGTGAATGCCAAATATCATTCCAAGACAATGAACTTATCTTTCAAGACAAAACCTATGGAAAGCCCCTCGTAGCTGACAAAATGGATTTCCATTTTATGAAACAAAATATCCCAGAGACACAAATTACTCTGAAAACGTTAAATTTACCAGAATTACAAGTTAATCGAATGTTACCAATTTTAGAAGAAAATTCCATAGAAAATTTTGGAAAACCCAGTATTTGGACCATATTACTATATCTCGTATTTTCAAGCATCTGCTGCATAATTTTATAGAAGATGGAGAAACAAGAAAGCATCCAAGTTAGAAATCGACATTGAATTAGCCGAGATGAAAGAAGAAGGTCCAAGTCCCACAAAACGCACTAGAAGAGAAGATTCCAGTTCAAGATATAAGAAGAAAGAAATTCACCTTCCAGGGGAAGCTTCATTCTAGGGGTGGAGGAGTTATGTACCAGTCTACAGAAGAATATGCTGAACAAGGACTTTTGCCTCCACGTTCCTTTCTTATCAGTTACAGTATTGTATTTCATTTGTTCTTTACTTTGGTTTGTATAATGAACTTTGCAGTCAGTCTCGATTCAGAACTCATTCAATTAACATCATTGTATTTGGTCTTTCTCAAAAATAAATCTTTTTAAAAACGTTTTCGTTGAAGAAAGATATTT